ACCTAACTAGTAGTACACGTCTACTCTTAGAGTATACTATCATCATCATCACCATTTTCAGCTTATTCAACCATTTCCAATTATGGTGTAGCCTCCCTCACATATTTAAACTCTCTTTCTAGTTGGGTCCATTATTGTCCATTTTTGCCTATGCGGGCCCAAATATTATGGTGCCATCTCAGGTTCGCTCTTTTTCTAGGTCTCTAAAATTCCTCGTGGGTACCATGCAGTAATTTTATATATTTTGCCACTTGAGGGATTTGATTCTGTGGATGATCTACTACCTGGGTCTTTTGTCGTATCAACTCTATTCTTTTACGGTCTCTCTTGATTATTTCCAGTATATTTCGTTCCATTGAGCGTTGTGCGACCTGCAGTTTCCTTATTTTGTCCGTTTTAATTGTCCAGGTTTCGCCTGCATAGGTCATGACTGGTAGTACACATTGGTCGAATGTTTTCTTCTTTAGATAAAGTGGCATTCTAGATTTAAATATGATTGAGTTTCTTCCATAAGTACACCATGCTAACTTAATTCTTCTGTTGATTTCTGGTAGTAGAGATCCCAAACTGTATATTAGTTGTCCTAAATATATATATTCTTCTACTATTTCCCGTCACATATTCGAAAAGAAAATATTAAAAAAAGCGTTACTTCTACTTAAATGTGAATCCATTTTCCAAGGCGAATATAAAAAATGCCTTTAGTGGCTGGGACAGAAAAATATTATAGCAGAGGGTGTCGATGAAACTATATATTCTGTAATAAATTTATTATATTAGGTGACATTAGTGATGTACATAAATTATTAGAGTAGTTAGATGAGTGTCCATTCTAATCTTATATTATTTTTTTTCCATAACAAGGGGCCGTCCTCTGCCGGAAACACTGCGACCTGTGAGGCCTATTGTGTTTGTCCCCCTTCTATATCTGCACCCATTCTCATATCCCTGTGCCCTGCACTAGCTTATGCAGGTCCTTGATAGGATGGGAACATAGTTCCTCCAGTTCTAGCCTAGCTTTCCCAAATAAAAAGTGTCGCTTGCGATCCAGAGCCTCGCAATGACATATTATGTGCTCCGCTGTTTCAGGATCTTTATCGCAGAGTCTGCAGCAAAGACTTTCTTGATACAGGTTGAGCTTGTTCAGGTAACACTTGACAGCCATGTGTCCTGTCAAGAGGCCTGTTGTAATCCGCACTTTATTAGCATTAGCAGTTCTTTTGCGGTTTTAGAGCTCGGTCTTTGGATAAAAGCCTTGCTGTGCCTGTACCCCTGTCTGTTTCTCCAATGGACATTCTGCTTTTCCCTGATCCAGAGTTTTAATGCACTACGGGCCATACATTTAGGTATTCCCAGTACTGGCTCTGGACCAAGATAGAATGCCGATGATCCGTGCCTAGCTAGCTCATCGGCTTTTTCGTTGCCTTGGATGCCGCTGTGGCCCGGCATCTAGAATAATTTAATTAATCTTATATTATTACTCAAAATCTCTATTGTATTTCATAGTTATTACCTATAAAAGCTAGAGGGAATTGTGGCATCTTAATTCCCGTGAATAATGTCCCAAGGGAGCTCAATGACTCTATTGGCTCTATTTATCGTTAGCGTAATCAAGACGATACAAGCTTATATTAATTCAATAAGAAATGAAGATAATTGATACAATTTATAGTTCAATGACTTTACAAATAAATCAGTTATCAGCAAGAGATTTCCTTAGCTGACTTCTCAAAAATCTCATGACCTAAATACATCCTTAAAAACTCCTTTTAGGGAAAAATAAATAGTGTATTTTAATGCGAAGGGTTCAATGATTTTACAAATAAATTAGTAATTAGCAACAGATTTTCTTAGCTGTTTTCTTAAAAATCTCATGACTCCTTATAAATACAACCATAGAAACGCCCTTTAAGGAAAAATAAATAGTGCATTTTAATGCGAAGGGTCGGTGATTTAAATCTAGCTCTGTAGCTTTTCGGCCACTATCCATTTGCTAGTCTCGCTCCACTAAATCTCAACTTGATAAACGTCCACCCCGTCTAAAGTTCGTTCACGATTTGTTACTGTATATACACACCCCTGAGGATATCGGTCTGACTTACAGGATGTATATGTCTAAATTACATTGTAAAATAGAAATCTACTATGTAGATTTTTAGAGAGAAACTTAACAAGTAATGATATTGAAACAGCTGTACTATGCGTTGTACTCCTTTAATATTTTTATTACAACCAAAAAAGAGAGGGCAACGGTCCAGTCGAAATACCATGTCGAAACACAGGTTCTGGATAGATCACCAAAATTAAGCAATATAAAACAATGCGAATGGATGGACGGGTGACCATCTGGAAAGTCTATCGTGTTTCGTGGTAAGAGTGTAAAATAACACATACTGCTCATTCAGGCCGCGCCGGTTTGGGGCCGGATGAGATCGGATATATCTCGGTAGACCATTGACAATGACATAGCCGAGGACCCTGGTTTGGATTCCACGTTTTCACGATATGATATTCTATACTAATTAAAATCTATATTTTTAAGGGCACTGTTTAGATTTACTGAGTAATCGAAATGGTAGACTGTTCTTTTATAATTATTACAGTAATAAAAATGTCTATAATATTGATACTAACAATTTATAACAAAATTGTTGAAGCACATTTAGAGAGGAGCTAAATAAAATGAACTGACTTGGTTTTACATGAGATCTCACAACTTTTTATAGTGGAATAATTGTGTTGCGAGACATTTTTTTACATTCTATGTTTTTGATGGGATTACATTTTCCAAAAAATTTACCTGTTTCCTTGCCATTTTAGACAAAACATTTTAACGTTATCATTAATAACATACAGAGCTATCTCTATCACCTATACAGAGGCCTATTTTTAGGTTATAATCTAATTATAAAAGCGAAACTTCTATATACAAGAGAGTGAGATGATCTTGCCGCTTTATACGTCGCGCGTCGGGACTCTAGCTTCATTCCTATAGGACTATCTATTTCAAGTATTATATTCTCATTATGTTGTTTTCCTCTCTCCAAGCCCGTCGCTGTGTTTATTTATAACTCCCGATACCGCACCGCTGCGCTGTAGGGTCATTAGGAGTGAAGTATGTGACAGATATTCGGTCAGTTATGATTTGGGGAGGAGACCTAATGATAAGTAATGGTCTGTGGTTACGTATTGCGCCTAGTATCTGGTTGTATGCGAAATTGTGCGTAGAAGTGTCGTAGATATGATAATCATTCGGACCTAGTAGTATACAGGGTGGCACCATACGCCGCAAAAACTCCACGGAGAACGACAGTTTCTCTCTACAATTTCCTCTCTCACAATGTACCGTTTGTGTCCGAAAGAAATAGGTACATTTATTTTATTTCGTATATTTTTCATTTTATTGATTTTATGGAATGCACTGTTCATTAAAATGTTGTATCCTATGTTATAGGGCTTGTTTCTCTCTACAATTTTCTGTTTCACAATGTACCGTTTGTGTCCAGGAAGGGTTCATAGTTTCATAGATGTCGATTTTCGAAAGAAATCAGAGCATGTATATTATTTCGTATATTTTTCATTTTATTGATTTTATGGAAAGCACTGTTCATTAAAATATTGTATCCTATGTTATAGTGCTTGTTTCTCTCTACAATTTCCTGTCTCACAATGTACCGTTTGTGTCCAGGAAGGGTTCATATTTTCATAGATGTCGATTTTCGAAAGAAATCGGTATATTTATTTTATTTCGTATATTTTTCATTTTATGTACACTGTTCATTAAAATGTTGTATCCTATGTTATAGGGTTTGTTTCTCTCTACAATTTCCTGTCTCACAATGTACCGTTTGTGTCCAGGAAGTCGATTTTCGAAAGAAATCGGTATATTTATTTTATTTCGTATATTTTTCATTTTATGTACACTGTTCATTAAAATGTTGTATCCTATGTTATAGGGCTTGTTTCTCTCTACAATTTCCTGTCTCACAATGTACCGTTTGTGTCCAGGAAGGGTTCATAGTTTCATAGATGTCGATTTTCGAAAGAAATAGGTACATTTATTTTATTTCGTATATTTTTCATTTTATTGATTTTATGGAAAGCACTGTTTATTAAAATGTTGTATCCTATGTTATAGGGCTTGTTTCTCTCTACAATTTTCTGTCTCACAATGTACCGTTTGTGTCCAGGAAGGGTTCATAGTTTCATAGATGTCGATTTTCGAAAGAAATAGGTACGTTTATTTTATTTCGTATATTTTTCATTTTATTGATTTTAGGGAAAGCACTGTTCATTAAAATGTTGTATCCTATATTATAGGGCTTATTTTTCTTTACAATTTCCTGTCTCACAATGTACCGTTTGTGTCCAGGAAGGGTTCATATTTTCATAGATGTCGATTTTCGAAAGAAATCGGTACATTTATGTTATTTCGTATATTTTTCATTTTATTGATTTTATGGAAAGCACTGTTCATTAAAATGTTGTATCCTATATTATAGGGCTTGTTTCTCTCTACAATTTCCTGTCTCACAATGTACCGTTTGTGTCCAGGAAGGGTTCATATATTCATAGATGTCGATTTTCGAAAGAAATAGGTACATTTATTTTATTTCGTATATTTTTCATTTTATTGATTTTATGGAAAGCACTGTTCATTAAAATGTATCCTATGTTATAGGGCTTGTTTCTCTCTACAATTTCTTGTCTCACAATGTACCGTTTGTATCCAGGAAGGGTTCATATTTTCATAGATGTCGATTTTCGAAAGAAATCGGTATATTTATGTTATTTCGTATATTTTTCATTTTATTGATTTTATGGAAAGCACTGTTCATTAAAATGTTGTATCCTATATTATAGGGCTTGTTTCTCTCTACAATTTCCTGTCTCACAATGTACCGTTTGTGTCCAGGAATTTATTAGAGTTAAGTATTTTAAAGAAATACACACAAGAAATTTTACTCAGATAAAAATTCACAAATTTTAAAATTACTTACAAAGTACGTGAAGAAATATCTGCTCCTTCACATCATCCCCAACTCCGTTACTCGCTACACACTGGTAGATGCCAGCCTGGTGCCTATCCACCTTATCCAGAGTTAGAATAGGTGTGGTGGTAGTCTGTTCCCCTCCAGGAAGTAGGTTGTTCTTCCTAGACCATGTCACTTTGGGAACTGGGTTTCCTGATGCCTTACATTCTAACCTCACTGTGGAGCCTTTCTTTACTTCTACCCTCCCATTGGATGTGACATAGTGTATTCGAGGGGGAACTGAAAAAAATTATAGAAAAATAAATTAATAAGTTTTCAAGACTACAACTTAGGTCGACTTGGGTTTATATCAAATTGGGAAAATATCATGAATAGTTCATATCAAATAAACTTTTAGTCACGTGATTAAGCTTGACCGGTACAACCTTGCCCACTTTTTTCTTTTAATCAAAATCTTTTAGGAATAAAATTGCGATTCGTTTTTTATGGCTATTAAGCTATGTTGTACCCTTCGCACTAAAAGAGATTCTATAAAAAAAGAACAATGTTCGACTGCAAGGTCTGCTCGTAAACATTTTTAAGCTTAATAAGTATCACAATTCATTTAAATCAAAAACTCGTAATACGAAACTAACAAAATGTCAAAATGAATGACAATTTCATGGAGGTTATTTAAATGATTATTTTGGATAATTTTCGCAAATTTAAGATTTGCCAGCATTCATGGGACACAGAGCACAGAGTAGATTTTAAAATTAATAATGTACGGTTATCGCTTCTTTGATTAATTAGAATAAAACATGAAAGAAGAAAAACATAGAAGAAAAACACAAAAAATAATATACAGAAAACTTATGCTTATTTATTTGCCGCATTAAGTACTTAAGCTATCAGGTAGTAATTAAAATTTTACTTCATATAATGTCATTTTAAGAATGTCAACGGTTTATAATAGACATATCTGCTGAAAACTAAAGTGTTCCTTTTTATTGTATTTTTTTGAGAGGAGATATACCTACTCAAGCGTTAATCAATTTTGGTCGGGTAGGGAAATTTGTTTTACTAGTAAAAACTCATCAAAGCCGATTCTGGTTTGAATTATACCGAATGGTGCTTATGAAAAATAACTTCTTTATTTTGTACATTTCCTTAAAGAGTTCAAGTCAAACTTCAAGTAATTTTATAGTCTCTTCAAAATAAGATTTATCGCAATCACATTACAGCCAAAGACAAACCCATGGTTTTGTCTTTGTTAAAACAGACTTAGAATACTTTTAGCTTTGTAGGCAATTGTTTATTTCTATATCTGTATTTTTTTGTTTACCAACAGTAAAGGCACTGAAAAAAATTGTACACCAGAGACATAAAATAAAAAAAAATCGAATTTTACGTGATTTATTTCAGTTGGCACATTTCCTAAAGTGTCAATTACAGCAAACCTCCCACAAAGATACAAAACAGTCGCCGGCCGAGTATACAATGAACGATAAGTCAAAAGCAAATAAAAATTTTAATTGGATCTATCGACTGAAGTATAAGAAAAAAAGTCGGAGAGCCTCGTTTAGGAGACAAAGGCAGTAAAGTACCTTAAAAATAAAAGACTGGGCTCGACAATGACATTAAATTTTATCTGGCGGACGATAACTGGTGGAATTAAAAGCGACGATTGCAATCCCGGCCGTTCTTTCAACAGTGGCGTCCGTTTGCAGTTTCAATTATTTACAGAAAACATTCCGAGAGACTTTTGTGTCTACATCCAATTAGTTCTTCCATTTTCGTTCGAGTCAAAGGGACATATTTACAGTCCTAGCAAGTCATGGGGTTAGAATAGAGTAGATTTTTGAAGTGACTTTTATCGGCCTATTCCAAGTAAGAACAATCTTCGGATTATCACCCAATGAACACCTCAGTAGATTGAAGCTAAGACACAACGGTGAATGCAGACTCTTTGAGGAAAATCTCATCAAAACACCTCATCACTGGTTGCGCCGAGGCGACAACCATTCGTGCCGTAAACTTTGTTACGACTAATATCGGAGACAAATAACTCACCTCTGTAAAACCGTCTCAGATACTGGCTTTTGTCAAATCCCCAAGACTGTACGATAACTAGAAACTACAATCTACAATCTACAATCTATACGCTACAATCTACAATCTACAATCTATATGCTACAATTTACAATCTACAATCTACAATCTACAATCTACAATCTACAATCTACAATCTACAATCTACAATCTACAATCTACAATCTACAATCTACAATCTGCAATCTGCAATCTGCAATCTGCAATCTGCAATCTACAATCTACAATCTACAATCTACAATCTACAATCTACAATCTACAATCTACAATCTACAATCTACAATCTACAATCTACAATCTACAATCTACAATCTACAATCTACAATCTACTATCTACTATCTACTATCTACTATCTACTATCTACTATCTACTATCTACAATCTACAATCTGCCACCTACAATCTACTATCTATAATCTACAATCTACAGGCTAGTACAGTTGTATATTGTGTCTAAGGTTAACAACAATTAATGGACGTTCAAATCATTCCTAAAAATACACCCTGGAAAATTTTTATTTTATTGACGGGCTAGTATTAATATTTTTCATTATTGTCATCGCTTTAATGACTAATTTTTTTCTGAAAATATATATCATAAAAATTCTTTTACTTAAAAATTTCTTTATGAAATAAAAAAAATTAAAATCTGATGACACAATCGGGATTTTTTTCTCATTTTTTTTTCTTTCTTAATAAACCAGAAAAAAAGGTCGTGTTTTGTTTTAACGCCCTTAATTTTTTTTTTCACCCCAAAGTCTCTCCCTATTACGAAGCACGGACTTTTTTGTCCCCGAAAAAAGAAAAACAAACAGTTTATATTAAAACCGTTAAATGTCGAGCAAAGGAAAGCACGCGTTTATTAGGAAATTAAGAAAGCAGTTTCTTTGGTATAGCTTGTACAGAATAAAGATTTAAACGTTTTAATTATGCTATTAGGAAACGGCTTTTGGAATGCTGAGGAAGGATGCAAAAGATGAAGAGAAAGTAAGAGATGAATACAATATTTTCCTTTAAGTGATTATCATCATTTCTCAAAGTTTCAATTTTAAATTTTGCGAATGGAGGCTTAAAAGTTTTAGAAACTTAGGAACTTCGGATTGATCTAAAGAATTTTTATTAAAATAAATTGAAAAGATTTATGCAAGAATAGGCCGAAAGATAGTAATTATAAACGTTTTTATACAGAATAAATTAATACAAACACTTGAGACAAAAAATAGAATTTTAACATGTTGGGATTTTGTATTTTGACTATCTTATTCCACAGTTTGTAGAATGTCAACAAGAAAAAGCCATCAACTCAGTCACTCTCAATTCAAAGAATGCCTGAACAAATTGGGGTAACTCCTACTCTAGGTGCCAGCCTACCAAGGGACAGAGTGTAATGAAAAACAACCAATCTAGCTAGAAAAGGAGTAAACACTTTACTAACTGTTCCTTCCAAGTGAAAACCAACTTAAAGCAGAACTCATGAACCTGCAAGACGCCTGGTAGAATATAGAATCAGAATCCTCCAACCGTCTAAGACACTTGAAGAAATTTCTCAGGACATACAACCGAGGAAAATTGAAGATTTTCCTTGATTTAAGTAAAAGCACCACAGTAGATTGAAACTAAGAAACAATGGTGAATACAGATTCTGTGGGGAAAATGGGGAAACACTAGATCACCTCATCTCTATGTGCGCCGGGACGACAACCATAAACTTTGGTACGCTTGGTATCGGAGATGGAGAACATAGCTCTGTAAAACTCTCTCAGACACAGGCTTGTGTCAAAGCCAAGACTATATGATGAGTTATAACTCCAGAAAGGAGGGTACAATAGGTATATAAAGTCGCGGTAATTAACTTCTCCCCTCACATACAATCTACAATTTAAAATCTTGAAGATTCAAGTTAATATAAAGGAATAAAAACCTACGATTTGTTGACATAAGTTATTTTTTGTTATAGATTATTAAAAATATTACTAATTTATATCTCCAAATAAGTTTTATCACAAAATATTTTTACCCACGATGTTTTGATATAAAATAATCCTCCATAGAATATTTTGGTTTTCTTCAAACCTTTTTCTTTCATTTAAACTCTTGACTCTATTGAAAGACATAATTTATTAATTCTCCAACGGCTCTGAAGAGCCGTTTTATTTATTAAAACGCTCTACGTCGCGCAGCCTTTACGGTTTACATATGAAACTTTTAATAGAGTTCTCACCGTAAACTTTCAAGATTTCCGCTGTTTCGCCGAGTGAAAGCGGAAATTAAAACATGACCGTGACGTACGAGCACGGAAAAGAGTGTCTTTGTTATTAAATTTTGGTCTCACATAATTTTTATTTAATACAGCTACGACTGGTTGTTCTATATTTTTAAATAAACTTTAATAATTTATATTTTTAATATAACTTTAAGTTTAAATTTAAACAACTTAGTTTTTTCTACTCTTTAAAAATGTGATGCATTGTCTAAGTTATACAGGGCGAGTTTTAAATTAGTGTAAATATTTTCAAGGCCAGTAGATCTGATAGAACAAACATATTTTTTTTACCGTTGATACCGTGACTGAATACCGTGATATTCAGTACCTATTTACTTGATATCATTTTTGAAAATAAAAAAATAGAAATTATTGGTCTAATCCAACATTAAAAAAATTAAAAAAATATATAATATATCTATGATTTTAATGGATTAATAAAAATGTTTTTGTACTTTACAAATATATAAAATGTGCACAATAACCTTACCAGTTATGGTTCTTTTAAAATTAAAATACTAAAAACAGTTTTTAAAAAAATATTGAAATCTACATAAATAAAACTAAGTCGGGATAGAAAAATTCAAGAGACCAATTTTCATCCAAATGTCGACGTTAGTTCATAAATTATTTGGAAAACCCCTAAATAAAAATGTACCTTCCAAATCCTGTACACCCGAAATGAAGCATCTTAGGGCATACATTTATACGAAGCTTTTTACTTATTTTTATCTGTAGAATAAGTTATAGAAGTGGCCCGATTACAATTCACACCACCCTGTATATCAGAGGTCTTAGTATACCTAAAAGATGTCTAATATATGTAATTATAATTTATTTTTTTAAATATAATAATGTATATGTATAATAATGTGTAATAATAACTTTATTTTTTAAAAGTTGGAACGCAACTTTTAAAATTGTG